ATCTGAACTTGATCTCCAATTTAGAGAGGTAACAACTATATACTGGCGAAGTTTCAGAAGCAATGAGTTCTGTATAACGTTTCGTGTAACAACAAACTTCCACTATGCTACCCTTAATAAAAATTGAAATGTTGCGTGCATGATTTTCATTGGTTAATTTCACTTGACCAATGATCGGATTTTATCTATGCTGACCTGAACTATGTTTGATGATCAACCTTTGTGACCAACCCCATTAAATTACCCTTCTAATTTTCAAAAAAAAAAGGATGTTAAACAAATAATTAAATTTGAATGGTCTTATTATCATAAGTAAGGATACTCAAGATATGAAAGTAGTATTTTGATTATAGAAGGGTATGTGAATGCCTAGAGATGAATAATCTCAATTCAGACATTCTCAATATGTATGGAAATTAATTCTTTTCCACATTAACTTGCATATTCAGTGGTTGATTTGTCAAGGAAATTATTATTTAGTCTACAGTTAAATGATGAATTATTGTTATGCAACCATAAAAAAAAAAAAATCAACATAAACATCAATTAATGAGTAACAATACTATTATCAATAAACATGTATATCATTGCAAAAATAAAATGATGAGATAGAAATTAATTTTTACATTGATTATTATTATTATAATATTTGCTTTTTTTTTTTGAATATAGATTTCAGCCACATAAGTACAATTATCATTATCATTTCCCTGAACAGTTCATCATCATAATCTTCTTCCCTCGTTCTTGTTTGATTATATATAATGCTTACATAAAGGTTCTTTAAAATCAGCCATCTCTCCAAGGAATGGAATTTGGTCTAATTTATCAATAGTATGGTCAATATTATCTTTTTGTGAAATGTGATGTTGTTATCTGATTTTAGTTCTGCTAACCTGATAATAACATGTTAAATTCTTTAAGAACTTGCTTAAGATGTAATTTAATTGGTATATTATATTTTTTTGCAATCTTGGGCTATTTTAAAGAGAAAATATTTATTATTATGTCATTATCATTAATAATATTATAAACGTAAAAAATAA